ACCTTACCGAAACCTGAAGGTTGGCTGGGTACACACACACCTGGCATCTTCCCATGGCCCTGGGCCCCCGTCAGTGTCTACTTTGATCCCTTCCGTCCTGGCTCCTACATTCCCAGGGCCTGTCCTGTGTCACATCCCCATGCAGCTAGCTCTCTTTGCTGGTTTGGCAAATCAGACAAAGTCCGAGAACTCCTCAACCTGTTGGTTGTGTACTCCAGAGCTCTACTAAGCGTAACACGTAGTATTTCACTTCACGAGCAATGCTCTAGCTTGTGTTCAGAACTTGGGCCTCATGTAAATAGCTGAGTAACCCCTCTGTGCCTCAGTTTTGTCACTTGTAGAATGGGGATGATAACAGTAGCTCCTCTCTCACTGGATTGGTGTGAGAGCTCAGTGAGCTCATGAGTATAAAGTGCTCCATTGCCATTGGCCATTGTTACGATAAATCTTCATCACCACCCTATGAGAGGGGGACTCTGTTTATCCCCATGGGCAGATGAGGAACTGAGATTTGGAAAGGTTAAGTAAGTTGCCCAAGCTGTGTGTTAGAAAGATGGGCAATAAGCATGCTTTGGGAAGTCTGGGGCCCTGCTCTCGGTGACATGAGAGTCCGGGTTAAATCCCAATTCAGTTGCTTTCGCATATATTTGGAGAGACCAATGTGTCAGGCCCTGTGCCAGGAGCCAGCAGGTAGCTCCACCCGGTGTTCAGCCCAACCCGTGCGGGCCAGCTCTGGACTAGGCACAGTTAATCTCCTGCCATCCCCCCTGGCTTCACCTGGCTCCTTAAAACCAGACACGTTACTTAGCATCTGCAGAGAATGTCTTTCATCTTCAAAGGATTCCCGAAGCACCAACCAATTAATGCTTACAACACCCTCATCTCGTGGACAAATATTTATCCTCACTTCATACCCAGGAAAACTAAGGCATAGAGAGGAGAACAGACGGGGTGGGAAGAGGAAGAGTGAGTGACAGAGCTAAGCAGAGAATTCCGGAGCCCCAGACCCTGCTGACTGCCCAGTCCATCTGGGGGCTGCAGGGAAATTCTTCCCATAATATCTTTTTTTTTTTTTTTAAATGGAAACAGAACCTTTTGCAAGTTCAGAAGATTTAGATTTCTTTAATAGTAACCTCCAGGAAATACATTAAAAACACATTCTATCCGTTACAAATCTTAATGTCACCAGCCAGGGATGAGGGAATTAATGCCGGACCCAAAAATACATATAGTCAGCAACTCCAGGGCAAGGGCAGAGACGATTTATAGAGTGCGAGATCTGGATGTCTGGAGCAGGCAGGCCGAGCTCAGCGGCGAAATTGAAACAGGGCTGTTTTCAGATGGGGCTGAGGTGGGGGGGGGGGGCGCTGCTGAAGGCGGCTTTGATTCAATCATTGTTCCCCATTTCTTCTCAATCAATGTAAAAAAATTTTTTTTAATGCTATAAAGGCCAGGTTCTGATCTGTCATGAGAAAACTGCTTTCATTAACATAAGTTCCTGTTAAGGGCCCTTTAAAAGAATCAAACCCTCCCCCCTCCCCCTGCCCGCCAAGTGCCCCCACCAGAACAATCCCAACCCTGATCATCTCCCATGTCTACCTGGGTCAAACAAAGGGGGAATCCAAGCAGTGGTGCAGCTGGAGAATCTATGCAATGAAGACAAAACGTGTGTATAATTAGTGTGGTTTTACTTCCCTTAGCAGAGGGTATTTTTCTTTACTTTTATATTGTAAAATAAAATACAGTTATAGAAAACGACACCAAAAAAAGGTGTAGCTTAGTAAACTGGGATAAGGGAGACAGCGCAGGGCTTTTATTTTTTTATTTTATTTTATTTTTTTTTGCGCAGGGCTTTTAAATTGTTTTCATTTTTGGACTCAGCACTCCATTTTGCCAAACTTGAATCTAACACAACCTTGGAAAAGCTTTGAACCTCAGGGGTATTATTGCACTCATTTCAGGAAGGACAGTGACCTAAAGAATGATGTAGAGCACTCAGCTGTTAGTTTAGGGCCGCCACATTCCCAGCCACGTGCTTGCTGCTCAGAGAAAGGGTATTAAAGGACTCAGTGAGCAGTAGGAGCTGAAGCCCACAGCAGCGATGGACTTGGGTCCCCAGCATGTTCCCACTGCCCACCTCTCTTGTCGAAAACTGCACAGCATCGCCTAGGGCTGAGCGAGTTAATGGGCAGGTCTCTGTGCCCTTTTATCCTGGAGGAAAGGATGAGAAGGCATTACATCACGCCCCTCCCTTTACAGGGGAGGAAACTGAGGCCACAGGTCTGATCTGAGGTCAGTAGTAGCAGAGCCAGGACCGAGAGCTGGGTTGGAAGACTCCCTGTCCGGTGCTTCTCTGCCCCATGCCTGTGCTGCTTTTTCCGTGATACACCTTGTTGGGTCAATAGCTACTTGTCAGGAACTGGTAACCAGCACTTTCTAACCAGCCCGAGTACTCAGTAGGATGACTGACCACCCCACTTTGCCCGGGGTTGGGGGTGGGGATTCCAGTGCTAACCCTGGGACAGTCCCAGGCACACAGGGCCAGCTGATCACCCTGTGGGCTGTGTCCATGTCACTGGCGCCCAATCACCTTGACTAGTTGGTGGGCACTCAACCTGTGGGGGCGAATCAAAAGTTAGAGAGGAGGATGGGGTTTCTTATGCCAAATGAGTTGAGTTGGAGTACAATTATCCAAATTATTGAGATTTTTAAACAGTTACTGAAGGAAACATAAGGGTTTGTCCTGAATTATAATAGCTAACACTTTGAGCACGCTTTATAACTTTAATGCACTTTCACACTCCAGATCTTAATTATTTGGGCCCTTCAGGCAAGGATGTCTGATTAAAATCATTTTTATGAAGTAGGAGACTGAGCTGGCCCAGCCACCTAGGCGGGCACACCTAGCTGTGAGTGATGGAGCTCAGAAAGCACCACCCCCTTCTCTGACCCTTGGCTGAAGCTCTTCACCACTCCCTCTCTGGTCAGGAACCCTGGCTGGAGGCCAGATCTTGAGTTCTCTCTCTCTATTTAATTGTTAGGAAGCAGGAAGCCAGAAACTGGGGGTTTCTAAATTCAATTCCAAGGATCTTGGATTAACACCAAAATAATTCCCGTACTGTAGACTTGCTATTGGAAAAGAACCTTAGTGGGGCCAAAGAATGAGCTTGGTTTGATCAAGCGAAGCTGTTTGTTTACCTTTAGCCTCTGCTGAAAGCCGAGTTCCAGTATTAAGGCTCTCCCTCTCCAAATGCCATTCAAACAGCCCCCAGCCACGGACACCCCGCTTTCCACTCATGCTGGAGCAGGAGACTCTACACTTCTGAAATCAGAGCTGGAGGTGAAATGCTTAGCTGAGCTTTGTCTTTCAATGCCTTTCTTCTCTCTGGGGTTTTAACTGCTTTTTCTGGCCTCAGGGAATCCCTTGGAAGTTAATAAAACTTACTACATCAAAGGGCTCTACAACCATTACTCTATTAAAACCTCACAGCACTCCTGCAGCAGGTAAGCATTATTAACCCCATTTTACAGATGGGGAAACTGAGGTTAATTGGTTTGCCTCCAGCTACTGAGGAAATGAGTGTCCCAGCTGGCTTGAAAACTGGGTGGTTTGTTCAGATCACCCAGGGGTGGTTGTTTCTGCTGAAATCCGTTTTTCAAAGCACCTTGACTGGATTTCTTTTTCCTTCACGAAAACTGATTCCTCACTGGCTGCACTGAGGATGAGGAATTTCTCCAAAGCTGGCTAGTCCGAAAGCAACAGCTCCAGCCTTCCACCAGGAGAGGTGCCATAAAAATAGATGAAAGCTAAGAGTTCAGTGCAGTAATTTAGGAAACAATTTGGGCCTTTCAGAAATTAATGTTATTTAAAGATGCAGATTCATCCACCCCAGGGGCCTCCTGGGAGTGCTTCCCGAACCATCTGGTTCAATCAGCTCATTTTCTTTCCCCTAATCCTCCTGGCTCTCGTGTGTGTATGTACAGCGAAAGTTCCTGGGGAACTTGCAGCATGAATAAAAAGCAAAGACCTTTCTCTTTCACCAGCCACCTCTCCTCTTTTCCAAACAGCCTTAAATTCCTAATCCTGTTTATTCTTAGTGGGGGTATAAAATTCATGTTCCGACAGACAATGAGGAGATCTGTGGAGGCCTCCACCCCAGGGCTCATGTCCTCTCAGTTTGGGTCCAGCCAAGATGGTTGGGGTGTCTTTACCCCATTCTCTGAGAAGACCTACAAAACCTGGTAGTGTTTGGGAATAAATTTGCCCAGGCCTGCTGAAGGAAGAAGCCAAAAAAAATTTTCTTTGTGGGGAGCGGCATGTCTGGTTAAGCTATCCATGAATCACAGCGATGATTTCAAAGGCTCAGGTAAGTGTTTTCAAAAGGAGGGTTTCAGCACAGTCCCAACCGTATGAGTCCCCGCTTCTTGCTGTCCGAGTCCAATTATCCACAAAGGCAGGATGCTGTGTTTACATAAATAATTACCAGATTTCGGATAGCCAGACGTGTTGCAGCACACAGAAGGCAAGCCCATAAATTACATTTGGGGAATTAAGGGTCAGATTGATCTTATCTCTCTAAATCCGGCCAGATTCCGGCAAGCTAAAGGCACATCCGGTTGACTGAGCCTTGGGAGGCATGGGCCCCAGAAACTAGTGATCCTGAGGATGGTGCTACCCGTCCCCCTCAACACCTCCCTTTTCTGCTTCTCCCTGCTCCAGTTTGCTGGCTGGCTCTGAGAGCTAGGGGGTGGCAGAAAAAACTGTCCCAACTCGCTCTTTGCCCAACCTGCAAGGGAAGAAGGCAGGAGAGCGGTGTAGGCATCTCACTTCTATCCTCTTTTTCCTCCTGGACCACACAGGATCTCACTTCTGAAATAACAGCAACGATGTAGGAGTAGTGATAGGAAACATCAAAGCAATGAGAGTTATAGAACAGGGCTTCTGCTGGAGATTTCCCTCCTGCACAGGCCAAACCTCTGTGTTTTCATTCATTCAACAGAAATGCATTCAGCACCTACTGCATCCCCAGTGCCACACACAGTGCAGTGGTGGAGGGCTCATGCTCTGGAGCCACAACGCTTGATTGGAATCCTGGCTCTGCCGGCCACCGCGGGCAAGTGACCTAATCCTCCTGGCCTCAGCTTGTTTATCCAGAAAGTGACATAATGATAGCACCACTCCCTGCGAGTGAGGTGAGGATTAATTAAATCATTCATAAAGAGCTCTTTGAACAGGCCTGGCACATAGTATGTTGGTTATTGCTATTATTATGATGATTATTATTATGACTCTGCTAAGCACATGGGAGCCTCTGTTCTGAAAGTGGTTACAAGCTGGTTGAGACAGAATTCCCACATAAACACAAAGAGTATGACAAGGCAGTATGGTTGATTAGGTACCAAGTGAATGGAAAAGACAATTAAGTTCTATAGGGAGCAGGCAGAAGGGCGAGATTGCTGTGCTGGAAGAAGGCGTCACAGAAGAAGGAAGGCTTAGGCTGTGCTTGAAGGATGTGCAAGATTTGGCTGGGCCACAGAGGGAATAACGGATGTAGGGAGGGCTTGAGGCGGGGGCTGGGGGTAGAGCCCCAAGAATCCACAAGACTTAAGCTAGAAGTTAGAGTGTTATGCAAGTCTGATGCTTCTAAGAGTATAAGCCAAACCTCTTCAATTAAGATTTCCAAATCCAAATGTCAGCCTCTCTTATAGAGAAAGAAATATTGATTTGTGTTAACTTCATCTGACAAAATAATGTTACAAAGTGGGGCAACAGAGTGCATTGTGAAGAGACCAGAAGAGGCATGGATAAATAGAGCCTCAATTTATAATACGGGGGGTTAGGTATATTGATAGAGATGTCACTGAAACAAAGTAATATTGTTTGGTGAATTAGAAAGTATTCTACCCCAAAAGTGTTCTATTCATTCAATCATTCTTTAAATATCGAGTGCTTACTATGTGCCAAGCATTCAGGGAGACTCTGGTAGTGACAATAAATATGGTTTTTATCATTGACTAAGTGTGTATTCTTAATTCCTGGCCAGAAGGACAGCTCCTCTTTCCCACAGAGACACAGGGAGGAATGTGAGCACAAGAGGCTCGGACAGTCATCAGAGTAGAGGCGTTTCCGTGATCATTTTGATGAGAGTTGTAATGTACAAGTAGATAGGGAGTGAACTCTCGTGTTCTCCCAGATTTCCACTCCTACCTCTAGGTGCCTCATTTTGCACCTGATATAAAAGTGCAAAATATATTTCACAAGTAATAGGGGAATTTGATTTATTCACTGTTTTAATCTTTCATGCTACATGTCTTAAATGTCAATCCCTTTTTTGTAACTTTAAGGTTATAAAGAGAATATAACATTTTTACTTCATTTAAAAAGTAAATATGTGTTCACTAGAAAAAACTAAAAGCATGCATAAAGGTAGCCAGATTATTACAAGATAACTGGTAAGTTAAAGCTGTAGCTACTTTGTTTTCAGATGTTCTGGCCCAGTGCTGTCCAGTAGAAGGATGGTGTGAGCCACATGTAATTTTAAATTTTCCAGTAGCCACATTTAGAAAGATAAAAAGAAACAAATGAAGTGAATTTTGGTAATTTATGTAATATATATAAAATAACAATATAAAAATTGGGTTCTTACATTCTTTTTTTCATACTAAGTCCCCGAAATCTGGCAAGTTTTCCATTTATAGCACATCTCTGTTTGAACCAGCACATTCCAAGTGCTCAATAACTACATGCCAGCAAGTGCAGTTCTGGAATAATCATTTACAAAGTGAAATGCTTTATAAAACACAGTTGAAATAAATCTTAGTGAAATTATAGGTAGCAAATGTGAAATGTGGAAATTAAAGGAATGCAATTAATGTCCAGAATTTTTTTTTTTTTTTTTGCGGTACGCGGGCCTCTCACTGTTGTGGCCTCTCCCGTTGCGGAGCACAGGCTCCGGACGCGCAGGCTCAGCGTCCATGGCTCACAGGCCCAGCTGCTCCGTGGCATGTGGGATCCTCCTGGACCGGGGCATGAACCCGTGTCCCCTGTATCGGCAGGCGGAATGTCCAGAATTTTTAATGTCCTTTTCCTAAGAGGGTAGAAAGCATTAATTACAGTTTGTTGTTGTTTATGTGAAAGAATTTTAAGTTATAAACTATTTTGGTTATTAAAATAAATAAATATGGTTTTTACTATTGATGTATTGACCTCATATTTTTCATTTTCTATAAGTTAGAAAACAATTTAAAATAAATAAATAAAAGCAGGTACATGTGAAGCAAGCATTTCAAAAAAGTCTCTGTATAGCGTGTTTCTAAAAAAAATTTTAATCTGCCTCTGTGCAATTTCATAAATTAATTTGGTCTTCATTTGAGTAAGAATTACAATAATTTATTATTAAACACTTAAAAAATTAACCCAGTCATTGACAATTGAATTTCTGAAAAATTTTTGCTTGGATATCATTACTTACAAAGATGAATTAATTCAAGAAGCATTCAGTGAATGAACCAACCATGTGCCCAACACTGTTCTACCTGCACCAAAAGATAAGAAAGGATTTGAAGGGAAAGAAGGACTTTCACTTCCAGCCAAGGAGCAACAGGGACTGGATATACTCTCTTCCATGAAACAACCAAAAAGACAGACAAACAGACAAAATATATGAAACAATGGTTCTCAAACCATTTCAGGCAATGAAGGACAGTTACTGAGAGAGGGAAACAAACAAGGTAAGTAAGCCCTACAATTGCTCAAGCTTTCTGCCTTATGAGGGTTTCCAGGCTGTAGCACAGGGAGGGAAAACCCAGGCAGAGCTCAGCCAATTCTGTGAGTTGAGAATTCTCTGCCTGAGGACAGAGCTAAAAGTTTGGGGAGACCAAGGTGGCAAGAATTTGCAGGACAGAGTACCAAGAGCAAGAGAGCTGCAGAGGTCTGGAGATCTGCAGAAGGCCTCCCTCAAGTATTCAGCATGATTGACCCATGAGTTTGAGGAAACTATCCAAGGCAGGGGAAAGAAGATCTGAAAAGATTAGAGAAGATGAGAGGTGTTCACTCAGAGCTGGGAACAGTGTCTAATCACCACCAGGCAGACTGGAAAACTTCATAAATCATGGGGCATTGGGTAGAATACTCAAAAGGGTATTGCCTCAGTAATGGGGAATAATTAGCCCTATATTAAACATGGCTCTGGTCCTACCTGACGATTCTCAAAAATAAGACCAAAAGGATCAAACTGTGTCCAAGTAATCTAGCTCCCATACAAATCCCAAGAATATTTGTAGAAATACCAAAATATCCAGCACCCAACAATGTAAAATTCACAATGTCTGGCATGTAAACAAAGATTATCAGACATGCAAAATGTGACCCATAATGAGGAGGAAAATAAATCAAAACTGACCCAGAACAACACAGATATTATAATTAGCAGCTATTATAACTGTACTGCATTTGTTCAAAAAGATGTATGTTATAAAAAAGATTTAAACCAAACTTTTCAAGGTGAAAATTACACAAGTGAGATGAAAACCACACTAGTTAAGATTAATAGCAGGTTAGACATTGCAGAAGAAAATTTTAGTGAACAGGAAGACATAACAATAAAAACTATTCAAAATTAAGCATACAGGGGAGAAAAAAGTTTAAAAACTGAAAAGAGCATCCATGCACGATTAGACAACTTCAAGCAGCCTAATGTATATAATTGGAGTCCCTGAAAGTGAGGCTGGAGGACAGAAAATTCACTTGAAGAAGTAATGACCAAAATTTTTCTAAATTTGATGAAAATTATAAACTCACAGATCCAAGAAGCTCAATGAGCCCCACGTACAATACAAAAAAACCTGAAAGAGAACTACACCAAGTCACATTTGATCCAAACTCTCAAAACCTGGGATAAAAAAGAGCATCATTGAAGCAGCCAGAGAAAAAAAAGACACATTATATGGAGAAAAACAATATAAGGATAGCTGCAGATTTCTCACTGGAAACAGTACAAGTGAGAAGACAGTGGAGCAAAATATTTTAAATCCTGAAAGAAAACAAAAAAAAAACCCTCTCAATCTAAATCCTATACCCAGAAAAAAAAATCTTCAAAAATGAAGGTATTGGAAATTCCCTGGTGGTCCAGTGGTTAGGACTCTGCACTGTCACTGCCAAAGATGTGGGTTCAATCCCTAGACCAGGAAATAAGATCCCACAAGACACGTGGTGCAGCCAAAAAAAAAAAAAGGTACTATACAGATCTTTTCAGACATACAAAAACCGAAAGAATTCACCACCAGCAGAAGCGTACTCTAAGAAATGTTAAAGGAAATCCTTCAGGCAGAAGGAAAATGATACCAGACGGAAACATGGATCTACCCAAAGGAATGAAGAGCACTGGAAAAGTTAACCACATGGGTAAAATATGTGTTTTTTTTAACCTCGTATGTCTCTTTCAAAGATAACTGACTTTGGGACTTCCCTGGTGATCCAGTGGTTAAGACTCCACACACCCAATGCAGGGGGCCCAGTTTCGACCCCTGGTTGGGGAACTAGATCCCACATGCATACTTGCAACTAGGAGTCTGCACGCGGCAACTAAGAAGTCCACGTGCTGCACTAAAAAAAAAAAGATCCCGCATGCTGCAGCGAAGCTCCCACATGCAGCAACTAAGACCTGGCACAGGCAAAATAAATAAATAAATAAATATTTTTTAAAAAGATAACTGCTTAAACAAAAATTATGATGTATTGTGTGGTTTATTTCACATGTGTAAGTAAAAAGTGTGACAATAAAAGCTTAAAGGCCAAGAGGGGGGAAATGGACATATTCTATAGTAAGGTTCTTATACTATATGTGAAGTGGTATAATATCAATTAAAGGCAGGCTGTGTTAAGATATAAATACCATAAACCTCAAAGCAACCACTAAAATAACAAAACAAAGAATTATAGCTACTAAGCCAACAAAGGAAATAAAATGGAATCATAAAAAATACTCAATTAATCCAAAAGAACACATAAAAAGAGAAAAAAGGAAACAAAGAAAGAAATGGAACAAATGTAAAACAAATAGCAAAATGGTAGACAAACTTAACCATATCAATAATCACATTAAAAGTAAATGGTCTGGGCTTCCCTGGTGGTGCAGTGGTTGACAGTCCGCCTGCCGATGCATGGGACACGGGTTCGTGCCCCCGTCAGGGAA